ATTCTGGGTGTCGCCGTGCCGGTGCGAGAGCTCCCGTGCGGGTCCCGGTGCCCGAGCTGCTCGGCACCGGCGCCTGCGGAGAGGGCGTGGCTCCGGGAGAGCAGGAGAGGGCCGAGGGGGTTAATCTGGGAATGACAGACCGAAGGCTGAAGTCCCGTGCGCGTCGCCGTGGCCGGCCCTGCCGCGGGGTAAGGCGGTGCCCGGGCTGCCAGCTCGCCGAGGGTGCCGCTGTAAAAGGCTTGGCGGGTTGGGGGTAGTCTTAAGGGTGGCGTGCTCTTCGACGGAGGTAGGAGCGCAGCATCGGCCAGAAGGGAACTATCTTGCTATCCTTAAATGCCGGCGCAACGGCTAGAAACCTAGAGCGTTTCCCCGTAGAAAAGCAGACACCGAGGAGTCCTGGCTGCAGAAGGTCAGCTGAGGACGCACATCGTGCTTGCGAGTCCTTCTGTAGGCTGGCTCCAAAAATCTTAAGATTTTTGCTAGTTACTTCAAGTATGATGTTAAGTGTTACACTGGTATGGGGAAGACGGACTTTGTTGACTACTCTTTGCCAATGTCCTCGTCCTAATCAATTTAATATGTTTGCATCCTTTTTTAGTACGAAGACCTTGTTTGCTTTAGAGATATCAGACCCGGTGCCCCCCATCACTATCTGGTGGTGCCGGTGGAGCACATGGGAAACTGCAAAACGCTGAAGACGGAACACATACCTGTAGGTAAGGCTGTAAGTGTGTGTTTAACTTGAAGGAAAATCATTTTGCACGGTCTTAAGTAGTGTGTTGTCAAGTAAATCACACCTTTGAGCACCATTTGGTTGTGAATGTAAACACTGAAATAGGTGGTGTGAGTGTAGGTAGGGACTTACCCTTCCTGGGAACTTCCATGTGCTACTCTAGAACAGCACGCTTTTTTGTGCAATTCTAGGAAAACATTGCACTAGTGCACAAAATCTCTTTTGTTTGCATGGACTATAGCTGCCTCTGCACTTTGTTGGAAGTACAGCTTTATTTTTAAAAATATTTATGTGCTGCTTCATTGTGTTTTCTTAGATATGTATGCAATTTCAAATATCAAAAATTATAGAAGAATTTTATAAAATGCATATTTTATAATAAGCGCTACATAATTTTTCAGGAAACGGGAGTAAGAGAAGAAAGAGGGAAATGGTGTTCCAATAAACTTCAATAATTTTTGAAAAGATAAAATTCTAATATATTGAAGCTATGATGTTGATAGGCTTTTTTTTTTTCCCCTTAATAAAACGTTGTCGTGGAATTAGTTGTTTCACAAGAAATGCCTAGCTAAGTATGTTGAATAATGGAAGAAACTGCTGACATACATGCATGAAGAGATTCCACCTTATGGAAGATTACAGGTGGTGCAAGACAAGAGTTATAGTTGCACGTTGCAAATCTTGCATCACTGTACTACCTTCTAAACATAGGGTAGTTTTCTCCAGAAACAACTTCTATATGTGTTTGGCTTCAAGGTAATTCCTTAGACTTTTGCCTTGAGATTTTGTACTACGGTTGCTTCTCTTCTCAGTGATACAGTAATGAAACTTTGTTCTAGTAATAAGTGGGACTGAGAATTTTATTTTATTTTAATTTTAATTTTTGTGCCATCTCTGAAACTTGCTAACTTATGCCAGGCTGCACAGGACCTAGAGACCAAAGTCCTGTAGCTGTGTAGGGATATAACACTGGAATTAGTGTAAACATCATCATTCTGACCAATCAGTATTTGTTGTTTTTTTTTCATAAGGGTGCGGTGATACCATGGCCTTGGCCAAAGTTGTTAGAATGATACCACGCTTAAAACATCATTAGTGTGGAAATCTGTAATAGTGGTGCTTTTCATGTCGATCATTGCACAACACTGACTTTACAATCTTTGTTTGATTATGAGTAGTTACAGTAGTTGTTTTGAAAAACCCATGTTTGTGATGTCAGTCTAACCAGTTTGTTGAAGTTAATATTCAAAGATTTTGTTTCTGAAGAATACCTTTTTTAAGTTACTTGATGATGTATGGTATGTAAAACATTACTTAAACGTTAAATGAAATTTATTTGTGTTTAATAGTGAAGAGAATGATGGAAGTTGGAAAAGCTGTCCTCCAGAGAAATAATATAAGAGAATGATGGAAGTTGGAAAAGCTGTGCTCCAGAGAAATAATTTTAGTGACTTGAATGATATAAGGTATGTAATGGAAACCTCCTGTGTTTATTGAGTATGTTTTTTACTTTTCGGAATGCTATTTTAGAGGTGATGGCAACAACTGCAGTATGATTTATTGAAGAAATCGGGTCTGCATTCACTTATCGCATGACTTCTCAAGTAGAATGTGCTGGCATTGAATATAAACTCTTTTTTTCTGATGAATTTCCAGCGCAGATTGCATTCCAACTCTGAGATTCTTTCTTGACCACATCTTGGGATAGGGAGGGCACTTCAAACAACTTACCTAAAAGGCTGCTCTTTAATTATGTGCTGAAAATATGCTCTAAGTCCTAGATTCCAGAAGAGAGGTAAACTTTGTCCTATTCAAGCAGGGCACTGCATTGTGTTTCAGTCATACCCGCATTCATTTGATTTCAGTGCTGCACCCTTTAGTTTAAGCCAGTGCCTTTGATAGCCGAAGTAAATTGTAACATAATTTAAATAGCATAGTGTACAGGGAGCTGGGCCTTTGTGATTAAAATAGTTAGAAACTACATTCATCTAGTGACAGTTGGCTTTCCAGCTGAAAACTAGATATGATACATTTAAGAGACATTTTGTGAAGAAGGAGGGTTTAAAAAATAAAATGTCTCTTAAATACAGTGATGTGAAGGAGGAGGTTAGTGGGCATTTGAAAAGGTTTCCTGAGAGCATAATGAAAGGAAAGGGCGTATTTTTGTTCCTGCCTTTATGTACAAGGAAAATGTGATGAGTTGAGTTCTTAATTCAGTTGATCATGTGAAGTAACTTGCAATGTTTCACTTCTTCCTGAATTAACATCACCAGTATTTTTTACTTGTTTTCCTTTCCTAAGAATGGGTTTTCACTGGCCTCCGTTCTGCTCAATATCCCACTTGCACCTTCACGTCCTGGCCCCAGCCAGTCAGCTAGGATTCTTATCCAGACTCATTTACAGAATCAATTCCTACTGGTTTATCACGGTAAGTGTAATGCAGATGAGCTTTTCAGTAGGTTTTCAATTGCAAGCTGAAAATGTGACATCTTTCTAACATTTTAACTTTGTCCAAAAATGCTTTCAGCAATTATTTTTGTCATTACTGTAATTATTAATTATTTATATTTTGCATTAAGTATTTGAGAAAACATAATCGTAAAATGTAACTTTAACGTCTATGCTTATTAAGGGAAATGGAGTGAGAAAAACATTCACAGTAGTTCTGGATCTAATGTGTAGCTTCGGTTATTGTGATACGCTTCTGAGGACACTTTTTAAGTATTTGTTCTTTTAATGTGAAAGGATATATTCAAATGTGATGGGCTATGCACGTACCCTGGTTCATCCAATTTAGGTGAAAAACATGGCCACCTAATGATTGCATGTATCATTTCACGTGTTTTTTCTCATCGTGTCATCTTTAGACTGAAACAAGTGCCTGCTTTACAAAAACATTGTTTGTACCGATTTATGTCAGCAGAGGTGAGCAATGAGACTGAACTGGCACTGACTAAATCACTCTTTGAAAATCTCTCTCTCGAGAACTAAAGCTTACTCTCGCTGCTTTGATGCAGCAAAGAACCGATCCTTGCAATGTAGCTACAGCATCCTGGTGTCATTGCACAGCCCCAAAACAAAGATGCTGAAAAGGGTCTGTCTCATCTAAAGAATATAGACAGCCTCTTAAAGACAAAAAACTTGGCTTCTTCACAGTGGTACCTTGCTGGAGATCTTACCTAGCTCAAAAAAAGCAGATGTGTCTCTGCTGTATTGTAGAGCGTTACATAGGTATTTGGCCCTCAAATAAGTATAGTCGTGTAGTTTTACTGCATACTATCTTGGATTAGCTCAGGGAGATCTGTACCAAGTTTGGTTATCCAATATGGATGCACTTCAAAAGATATTTTGCCCTGTTGTCAAGTTGGAAAATGTTCTTGAGTTGGTTTTGGGTTTTTTTTTTTTTAAATTGTAATGGCTCGAATGTGATACTTGTTCAGGAATGCAAAACAAGATTCAGATAACTTCATTTTCAGTTGCTCCATGCTTTATCTAGCTTTATTTGCAAATAAACTGCAAGAGCTACTTAACTCCTGTTAAGTTGTTCCTACCCTAAGTAGCTGATTGCATTTTCACTGTGTGTATTTAAAACATGCCAGACTTAAACTTTTCACCTTTTAACATGGTTCCTTTGGAGATCTTAATGAAACCTCAAGCACTAGTTCAAAACAAAAGATTAATTCAGCGGGACTGGCAGAAAAAGGCTGACAGTAAACTGATTTGTTTCAGAAGTGCCCATGTTAGTCACCGTGTGCCCAATCTGGCCTGCTAGAACAATGTTGGCAGACTTCCTTCTGCCCTGAGCCTTTCTGAGGGCTCTGTGGGCTGGTGCTGTTACATATACAAAGTACAGCTGTCCCAGTTATGCGCTAGATGCATAAATAGCCGTACGATGAGAAAAGTTACGTGTGAGCGTGGTGACATAACCAAAGAATGGCTGTATATCTCGTGACATGAACGACATACGCGAATGCACTCCATCCCTCAGCAACGTATGTGGCTGGTGTGCAGCTGGTTGGGTGATGAGGGGCCACAATACGCCGTTCTGGAGCGTCTCCCAAAGAATTCAAGGCCTCACGGCTTGGTTGTTCTGAGCACTGCTCTCTTCTGAGGTCTTTAAAACCACACTGCTCTATCTGCTGTTTATTTGCTCAAACATCCGCTGACTTTCATAGGTTCTGTTTCCTTTTCTGATCGCCTAATGGGAGTTTGATGGAAACTGTGAGAGTCTGCTGTTTAAAGCAATCATTGTATTCTGCTTCTGTTGTATGCTTTGTCTTCAAGAATGAAAAGTAAATGCTCTGTCAGTGTCACTATTTTTAAAATGGAATTTTCAGTAAACTGAAGGTCCACGGTGTAATTAATGCATTGCTTTCTCTTTCATAGGCTGAACAACTGATTGAGCGACTGCAAACTGAAAATGCTGCCAGTTGAAAGCACTCTTAGCCTTGTGTCGCTAGCCGGTTTGTTCTTTGTCTTTGAACTCTGATTTAAGGTTGTACAGTTTGATGTTACCAATAATAAATACCAGGATAAAAAAAGCTTTAGTTCCTTATGAGGAAATACACACAGAATTTGTAGCTGCCAATCTAATTCTCCCATTTGGATACTTGAGTCTGTATACTTCTCTGACAATAAGGCGATGTATTTTAATTATAATTTTATATTTGTGTGTATATATATATACGTACATAATACATACACACACATATGCACACGTGCAGAGAACTGTTCTTAGTAAAAGGCAGGGTACAGCAGCAGAATGTACTGCAACTAAGGCAACAAGTTACTACTAACAGCATGTATGTGGTACCAAAAGGAATATTTGTTGTGGAATCAAGCTTTTATTTTAAAGATGCATTGTTCTGGGATCGCAAGTAACATTTAAAACATTTACGTTTCCATCTGTGTTTGTATGATATGTTACTTATGCCTAGTTATTAGTAGGTACATTGCTGAAAGTACACTACTAACTTTCTGGTGCTAAACCACTTTAATGTATTACCTGTCTTATTTGCATGACAGTGATATAGTAAATGTTAATACAATAGGTGCCCAGGGTGTGATAATGCTATATAACATAGAATATAGTTTAAATGTATGTGTAAGTGGTTGTATGTTGGACTTAAAGATTGTTTCCCTCTTACGTGCACAATATTTTAAATTAGTTATCGTATGTTTACAAAAAATGTGATGAATTTGGAGGAACTGATTTAATATACCACTCTTCTGTGTGATGGTAGAAAAAAAAATCCAAATTTTTAGATGGTTCTGATATTGTTCTCACTGGAAGTCCTTTGGAGATTACTGATGCCTTGGCTAAATTTGATTTCTAAATGAAGTCGTAAAAGAAACGGGTCTTTAGTGCAGTGAGTATGTGGCAGGCTTGCATAATAGCAATCTGTTTTGAATTTGGGATAGCAGGGACTCAGCCCAAAACTGGAACATGTTGGGTTGCTTAAGGAACCTGCTGAACATCTGCCTTTGCTGTACCACTCTAATCACTAATGCTAGCGCTCTGTTTTTCAATGCCGTATTAAGGCAGACTGTTTGGAAAGCTAAAACTCCAGAAAACACGGAGTGGATTTTCTTCATTCACAGGGCGTAGCTCTTGGTGCCTAACTGATCAAGTGTGTGTCCTTGGCTCATGCATTTAGATGCAGCTGAGGTGGTGATGGTCTGTTGCACCTGCAAGCTTCCCTGAACGTCATCTTCTCAGTGATTTCCACTGATCCTGCACCTGTTGCCTTAGTGGTAGAATGTATTGTAATATTCTCACGGTAAACTATACGTAATACTTAAGAAAGTTCACACCCTTCTGAAGAACAATGTTTTCTACCCAGAAGAGTTTACACCCCTCTTTTCTGTAAGACCTTGTTCCTGATGTCCTGTTATTAGTGGGCACTCACATGTCATTTGCAGCCCTTTAGGGTTTGAATTTGTAACATTAGGTAGGAAGAGTGTGAATTAAAGCCGCTGGACTTTGACTACTTCTGTGCAATAGATTAGGAGGTTTGAGCTGGCTCCCAGCTTTGTGAAATACCTGAACACAGATCTTTCAAGAGTTAATACTGTGTATGTGTTCTGATTTGTAATTAATTTATGTAACTGTACTTAACTGTGACATGTAACATTTAAAGTACCAACATGAACTGTTGTCAGACAGGATTAATAAACAAACAAATAAATGCTAACCTTGGAATGATCTTCCAGTGCAATGGAATAGTTGACTGTGGGGGTTGACCCTAGATACCCGCTTTGCTTGCTCTTCACCCCCAACCCCAGTGGGATGGGGGAGAGAATAGGAAGAGCAAAAGTGAGAAAACTCATGGGTCGAGATACAGACAGTTTAATATATGAAGGAAAGAGGAAGAAAAAAACCAAGGCATGCAATGCAAAGGTAATCACTCATGACGTCCCACAAGCAGGCCAGTAGCAATGGCTGCCCCCACCCACCCCCCAAAAAAACCCCCTCTCCTCAGCTTTTATTGCTGAGCATGACATTATATGGCATGGAATATCCCTGCTGGTCAATTTGTGCCAGTTGTGCGGGTTGTGTCCCCTCCCAGCTTTTTGCCTGCTGGAGGGGCAGAGCAGGAAAAAGAGAGGGCCTTGACGCTGCGCAAGCACTGCTCGGCAATCGCCAGAACGCTGGTGTGTTATCAACGCTCTTTTCAGTCACAAACCCAAAACATGGCACCTTACGGGCTGTTCTGAAGGAATTTATCTCCATCCCAGCTAGACCCAGTACATTGTCAAATGTACACAGAAGCTCAAAGGTCAACTTTTATGTTTGAGAAGGGTCCCGCTAATGACAGTGAGACTGGAAAGGTAAAAATCAGGATATAATCTAGCTTCCAAACTTTTGCTGATGAGCAAGATGGGGAATTCAACCTGTCTCTGACACTAGCAGACAGGCCTCAGAACAGCTCAAACAAAGTGTTAAACGCCACGTTAATTACTGAAATGAATGCTCAGTACCTCATTAGTGTTTTTCAGCACAGGACCACGTGCCATTTTCCTTCTGTATTGACAAGCATTCTCGGACTCAGCAGATAATTTTTTTAATTAGGCTAAGAAATGTTTTCTGAAAAGCCTATCGTAATGCTTTGAGTATGTTTCAGAATTACTGGCTAGCCCCTGGAAGAGGCGGTGGGCAGACCCCATTAACTATGTCACCCTCTTCTACAGCAGCATTGTAACATCATTTTTAAAATTCCAGAATCTTCCGTGGAGCTTTCCAGTGAGCAAAGATCAATAAAATACTCTTGGAGAGCGAACTCAGCAGCTCTTACTCTCCAAGAGCCTGGAGAAGCAAAGGAAAGTTGCTTAGCCACTGCCCCTGGCTCTGTTGTTCTTTGATCCGGTATTAGCAGTCCTGAGAAAAGCTGCTTTTTTGACTACATGTTTAGGAGTGACAAAGCTTTAATTGTACTCTTTTGCTCAATTGTTTTACATAAACTCCCAACCTAATGCAAACCCAGAGAGTAATGCTTTTATGCTGAAGTACTAACTGCCCCCTCTGAAAGGACGAAACAGATACACATACAACGCCGTTAAATGTAGAATTAAAAAAAAAGTTTGTGTCTTGACTACGGACAGCATTTTCAATGTGATTAAATTGGTAATAGCTCCTCAAGCTATTCTGAAGTCTTCCTAAGTGTGAGTTGTAAATAAAAGCATAAAAATGGGAGCAAACCAGTGAAAATCGTATTTGAAATTTGACAAACTCGGAAACAATAAAACGCTGCATAAAAACTCACTTGCTGTCATTTCAAGCTGATGTGCAGTATTTATTGAAGTGCTGAAAGTGCTTTCAGTATTTGACAAGACAAAATACAGATAATCCCTATATAATGTACAGTCCAAAACAGATGCAGAATTCACAGGCTTCAAGTGGAAGAAGAGGAAAGACCACTGAGGGAGGTTGCCACAAAGAAGTGAAGTTTAGGAGAGATTCGAAGAGCTGAAAGTTACTTAGTAGGGCAAGAACACCTTTTAGAAGGTCAGCGGTTACTTACTACTCCAAATAATCTGCAATACTAAAAACCTCACATGCTACAATTTTTGTAAAAAGAATTTGATAAATTCTGTTCCATTTACTGTAGTGGGAGCCTGTTGCAAAAAAGTTGCCTGTTTAAAAGTTTAAATTCCTGTTTCAGATGTAAATGCTAATCTAATCTCCACATCGCAGGTGAGGAAGCAGAATTTCGGAAAACTCGTAAACTAGTAGCTAAATTGAGTGTTACGTGCATTACATATGATGCATTCGTGACTATACAGGCTTCAGGAGTAATTTTTTATTCTGGAGTGTACCAGTGGACAAACTGACCTATTGTATTATCTATCTTTTAGGCTTCTTCTGAAATACTGGCTATTGCCGGAAGCAGGAGATTGGATTTGTCAACCTGCGTGCTGACGCAGTTTGGCAGCTTTTTGGTGTTTATATCCATTGCATGGGCACACAGAAAGATTTCAATCACTCTTTAGAGAATGCTCATCTAAAGCTGGCCTGTAGGAAATTTGGCCCTATAATTGTTTAAAAAATCCATCCCTCTATAAATAATATTTTTGATAATAATCCTTGGTTTTATTCAAAATATCATGATAGGGCAAGCTTTTTGTAGTCGCTTACAAAGCGGCTAAGACCATTTCATTAGGGCTTACTCTGCTTCTCTCTGTTTGATCAGAGGCGTGCTTAAAGCCCTTGTAGGTGTACTCAAGTGATATTTAAACCAATCACCAGCAGGAGAGAGTGCAGCAGAGGTCATGTAAGTATCTAACACTCACTACTACATATATGGCAATGGAAGCCCAGATTCCTGTCATTTAACTACTTGAGACAGACTTAATTAAGAACTAGTAAGTTTGCATGAGCTAGACTTGGATCTTAGGGTGCTCAGGCTACACACTGCCTCAACTGTGTGTCTTTTAATGTATTATTTGTACAATGTCTAGTAATGTATTATTTTTCCTGATATTACCATCCTGTTAGTCAGCTGGCGACACCTGAACCGCCCGATACTGCTTCCTGCAAGTGCTACAGCAGCACTGACTGAATTCCAGAATTAAACAAACCGCGTTCCGTAGCTGTATTACAAAAAGCTCGATTCGTTTTGAAATCAAAACGCATGTCCGGGCTTTATCTAATGGGAGCTGACATCCACTGAGGTGTGCTCGTGTCGTTTTGGCAAGAAACGCTTTTCCAAAAAACAAAGCATTTGAAACACGTTAAGATCACAAATTACGTGTCTCGTTGTCAGCTGCAAGACATAGATTTGTTTAGGAAGGAGGAGTTGGTTTGAAAACTAAGGGAACACACACCAGCAGTGCCTGGTGCAGCACATATTCCCCAGTTTCCAACATGGTAAAATTATGTGGTGATTAAAACCCATCCTTTGTTTCCCTCTCCATGATGTAGCTGCATCTGACTCCCCTGTCCCCCCGATACACTTATTTCAGCACATTCATTTCTTCCCTTTTTTTCTGTTTTCATTGTCTTTCCAGTAGGAAAAGGAGGCAGAGGGACAATGAAATCCATATTTTTATTTGCCCAGTCAAAAGGCTTATTTTGATGCAAATCCCCATTGGATGAAAATGTCAAAACAAAAAAACATTCTTTTAGGCTTTTTGCAAAAAATGTTTTTTTATATAAATAGCATAAAATAATCTATCACTTTTATCAAGTTCATAATTTATATTAAATTTCAATATCCTTTTGAGGCAAGAGAATATCATACTTGAAAGATCCATCAAGTAGTGTAGTTAACACCACATAAAAGCTTTCATTTGCACTGGTAAAAAATAGAATTTTATACTTCTAATTATACCGTTTTCTTGGTAGGAAGCATTGTAAATACCGCTCTCGATTGTTTTTAATAGCGTCGTTACAACTATTGTATATAACCAATCCTTTTTTTTTTTTAAACATAGAAAAAGTTCCCCCAGAAGAACCATGAAGGAAATTGTTACCGGTCATCCTTCAGTCTCAATTTTAACTAGCTGATCATTTTTTCTCCCAGTTTGGAGAACTCACAACTGTGCTTTAAGCACAGCTGTGCCTCAGCTAAATGAGGTATGGGACTGCACAGCTGTACTTTTATTTATGAGTTTGGCACTACAGGAACTCTACTCTCCTCCTGTTGTAAATGACATTGCTACATGTTTGTGAAAGAAGAGAAAGAGCCTTTCTTTTGTCCCCCTCACGAATGCACAGTGCCCCAAGATACAGTTCCAGTTATCCTTCGCATCTTTATGTTGTGGCACCCTCCTTTCTATGAAGGGATACTAGCTGAATTCACCAAGGCGGCTGCAGAGCTTTGTGATCATCTAGGGTATGACACAGCACTAGAAGAATAGAACAGATGAAAATGGTGCGAGATACAAAGAGGAAAAAGAACAAGAGACACAGAAGGCTTGGAGAAGATATGATGATGAGAATAGGCTATTAAATACCAGGACTATTGCGGCTCTCCAAAATACATGCAAGATGCATCTAATTTAGGAAACATCAAATATTCTTGCTGTGATATTTCCCTAAATTCCGGAGCTTTCATATACCTCATGAAAGTCAACATAACTTCCATTTATTCAGTTTCACCACGTGAAAATAACCTAAACTTTTGCTATATATCAGTCTCCTTTTTTGAAGAAGTATATGAATTCCCATAAAAGTTTTCAGTCCTGTGTTTTACCAATCAAAATCCCCCCCAAGGCGAGTATTTCACAACCTGCAAGAATCAGTGTTGTACGGTAGCAAGTTAGTAATTTATACTTTCAGTAACTTAAAGCAGTAAGCCAGCGGAGCTATTTGAAGAACTGCGGTATACTTGGTAGTGGATGGTAATAATGAAAGGACAATCCAATGGCAGCGTGATGGATTAGTTGATTATTTGTGATTTCTGTCCAAATCTCTACCATTTTTACAAAAATACTTTTTTCATCCTTCTCACCCGTTTTCTCTCCTGCTCATGTCCCAGTAAGTAGCTGAGTTGAAATTCTGTAATGAAAACCTCTTTCAAGATGGTATCCAGATAGGTTTTTCCAAATGGAACCATGCAGCAGAATTCATCAGATGACAAAGCCTTATTCTAGTAACGTGATGATCACATCATCATCTTTTCCTTGCCAAAGCATTTCACCTTCAAAACGAACCAGACCGTGTTTTCTGGCTCTTAACAAGATTCCCACTACTTTATTGGATAT